TAAACCTTCCTGCGTAAATGGTCGACAGGAGGTAAGGTATCCCCAAACAATATGCTTATTTGTGGGGATGGCTTTCACCACACGCCTTGAGTACGGCGGTATCAACACCCTTTCTGCACATAAGGCACTTCCAAATGCTGTTGCATCTGACCGAGCGATCGCAGCATCTCTTCACCCCACTTTTTCGATGAAGCTAGGGCGCTGGTACCCAAAATCAAATCATCGTTTCCCTTGCAGCTCTCGTGGATAAGACACGCCACATCTTTTTCCTCGTTAAGCCACTTGACTTTTACAATCACACTTCCGGATATTATCATAGTATTTCCTGACGCGTCGCAAACGGGCCCAGATTTGTCTCAGTAATTCTAGAGGTCAGATAACTGTCACTCCATTTCTGTTTCAATTTTTGGACGGTGGCCGCTGTAATGAGGCTAACTATTGCCCCTGTATCCAATAAAGCGGTCATTCTTACTTCATCACAAAGAACAGTTAAAGCCATTCGGCCTCCTACGATTTTATCAACTGGATCAGGGAACTCAGATTCTGACACTTTATTTAGCCTGAGTGTGATCAGATCACCATATTTTTCCGGACTCTGCACGGCGACTTTTTCCACAGCGCGAGAAGGGCAAACTCTGGCAACATGGCCTCTGCTTTTACAAACCGCGCAAACTGTGGATTGTTCTTCCCGTTTTCGGCCCGCCTGTAGTGCTGTATTATCCCTACACCCCGTACTGCTAAAATTGGTGGTTTTTTCGCCAATACTCCAGTTCTTCCGTTTATTTTCCTCTCTCTTATCGGTTGACAGAGCGGGGTGCTTGCCTTCACTGCTATTTTCTAGCCTACTTGATCGAAGGCTGCCCTGTTCAGCACGCCAGTCCTTTCTGTAGCTCCGACTATCCCTATTTTCAATGCTCCATCGTCCAGTTGGATGCCTGCGGTATTGCGGTACATTATATTTTTCCCCTGCCTTTTTCATAGTATTAAAAACTCGCTCATAATCGAGCTGTTTCTCTTAAAACAGGGAACATTTCGCCAAGGGGAGCTGAATTTAAGGCTGTAAATATGCGAGCTGCAGGTTCCGCATTTCGACTCAGCGCTTGGATGGCCAACCCACATTTCCTTTCATCTAAAAATTTCGGATCAGTGTAAATGTTAGAGGGGTAGGCCCTCGCGATTTTTCGCTCTAAATATGCAAAGAATTGCAGCAGTGGCTGCCCCTCCTTCCACTCTATGCTGGCTAACTCATTTTGCAATCGAATGCGGGTAATTTCAGAACGATCTACTAGGGCCTCCCCCAATTTTTCGACTACTTCATCAAAAGTT